TTTGGTCGCCCCGAATGGCAACTACTGTGCCAGATAAGTCCCGGAATTTAATTAAAAGGTGGGGCATAGAAATGATTGCTTTTAACGCAGCAATAGTTGGTCTTCCCAAGATAACATTGTATGCAGAGGCATATTCAATGACATAAAATCGTACTTTGATAGTACGAGCCTGAGGCATGACTCCAAAGGTTACCCACATCTCAATGGTGCCTTTGGGCTGTACGCATTCTCCAGCGAAGCCAATTAAATCCGAACATCCATGAACTAGATGTTCCTCTAGGATGTGCATCGCGCAAAAAGCATCCCAGAAAATAATATCAGCAAAACTACCATTATCAATCATAATACATTTTACCTGGAGATTAGCCATGCAAGCTGAGATTACCAGTGGGTCATCATGGTCTGGGATGATGTCGCCATCGTCATCATCATCAAAACATATGGCCTTCCTCTGATCGCGAGAATTAGAAGGGCGAGCATGATCGCGTACTGTCATTACGGATTTGAGATGTTTTTTTGGTTGAGATTTAGTCGCGCCTCCTCCCGCTGTCCCTACGGCGATAGTGGCTAAGACTCCTACCACGTTATTAGGTAACTTAAGTGGTTGTTGTTGTGCGGTACGCTGTCTGTTTCGCGGTGGAGTCCCTTGGCGTCTTTCAGTAGAGGTCTCTCTCGCATTTCTGCGATCATTGTTCCGTGCAGGGTTGTAGTCCCTTCTCGGATATGCCCTTTGTTCATTAGGGTTGGGATCGCGATCTGGGCTTCTATCGCGTCTTGTATTCCCTGCAGCTAGAAATGAATTCCTGGAGTTTCCCTGCTCTTATGAGTGTTTCAATAGTGTTTTTGAGCTCGAAACATTCATCAGTTGTATGGCCTTTGTCATTGTGGAACTCACAAAATTTGGTATCATCGCGCTGCACTCCTTTTCTCATTGGAGGAGGTTTGTTAACTCGTACATATCCTGTTTGGAATACTTCTTTCAAAATTCTTCTCTGAGACGTGTTTAATGGAGTATAATTGTCATATCTTCCCCACTTCCTTTTGTCACAGTATTTCTGCTGAGAATTCTTGTGGACGTCTTTTTCAAAGTTGTCCAAGTCGGCCCTGGTATTGGGAATTGTACGCGAACGTTTATAATCTTCCAAGTTGGTAATTTTTCTGATCGCGCACGCAGCTCGTCTATAGTACGTGGTCGCTGTTTCTCCGACGACATAGAGAAAGGGCCTTCAAGTAGCCCTTCAGTAATGAGATGTAGTGAGACTTGTGAATCCAAGTCTCTAACCAGGAGTGCTTCATCGCGCAATGTTTCGTTTGGTCCTTGGTGCACAGTTTTGAGTGTGTGCGTAGATTTGTATTGCGCTTTACTTGTTGCAAAACGCACAAGAAATTGGTTGGTTAAGTCCTCCCAGCTTTGTACTGAATTAAGTGGTAGCGCAGAATACCACCTAAGTGCTGTTTCTTTTAGGGTTGTTGGAAACAACCGGCACGCTATTGGATCGGCTACATCTTGAGCCATCATATTGGTCTGGAATTGTTCCAGATGCTCCTGCAGATCCCCCTTTCCGTTATACTTTTCAGTTGTAATTTTGACGTCTCTAGGAATTAGGATATTCATTATGCATGGGGTGAATGGATGAAGAATTCAAGAAAACGTCCTAGAATTTCCTTGAGAATTCTCGTTCTCATTAGTGTCTTTCATTTCTTCACCTTTTTTGTTTTTGTGACCCGAAGGACCAAGGTCACCCAGTGAATGTTCCTGCCTCGGTTCACTTTCTCCAGAATTTTCAAGAGTTCGTTCCTTCTCATGTTCTTTTTCTTTTTCTTTTCCTTTTTCTATGTTTTTTCTTTGTTCTTTTGAGCTTTTTTCGATCGAGCTAGATCTCGGTTTTGTTGGGCAATTCTCTTGTTTTGTTGTGTGATAAGGTCCAGCAAATGCTGGGCTGTCGACGGGTTATCCTCATGGATAGAAAGTGGTGCCATCGACGAAGCTGATTTTTCGCGGGAAGCAGGAATCTACTTTCGCTTTCCTTTGGAGCCGTTCTGGGATTTGCTTCTGGTGTCAACCATGTTTTTAATTTGAGAGAGATGTGTTCTAACTGGTAGATCCCCACAGAGGGCGCCAATGATCAGACCAAATACAATATGAGCTGGCCAATATGTATCATGCCTAATCACTCACGGTTGAGATGTGGACTGTTGTTCTTTGGTCTTGGGCCTGGAGTGAGAGTTGGATCTTACTTCGTCTCTGTCCTTTGTTGTAGCGCATTGGGTCCGAATGGGGGGGTACCTGCGAAGACACTCCGATGCTTAAGTCAGTATCAGAGGCAAGAGTTTTTATGTTATTAATGTAAAGGATAATCGTACCTTGGTGTCGTTCCATTTGTTTATATAGCGGTTATGATGCCGCCTTAGTAAGGTGGTATGGCCTCTGATTGGCCTGGTTTGGGCTGCAGGTCAGGCTAGAACCTGAGTAGCCTTATCTCCAGTTGTAGAATCGCGGCAAGCTGGAGCTGTCTGCCTTTTATTGGAATAAAGGCGCGGTGGAATTGCCTTGGGCCTTAAGTTAGCTTCCTTAAGAGGGTTTTATCCGCGATATGTGCATCGCGTCTTGTCAGCGCGATGAGTGCATCGCGTCTTATGTGCTGTGTCGGTCCATCACGCTTGCTCTGGAACCTTAATGGGTTTGGGCTTCTCCATATGTCGCTGGGCCTCTAATGGGCCTATATTTTATCCGGATCACTTATTTTTTTATTTTTTTTTACACCTTTTTTATTTATATATATATTATTTTATTTTATTTTATTTTTTTGTCTTACTTTCTTACTTTTTGTTTGCCCTCCTATATATATTTCTATCTTAAAATTTTTTTGTTAGGTAACAATCTCTATCTTTAATTTACCTTAATATACTTTTCCTTTTAATACTTTACCTCTTATTATATATATATATATATATATATATATATATATATATATGGATCAGGATCATTTTACACCAGTGTAAGTTACACTCTCAATCTTATCCGTTGATTCCACTTATATCTGAGAGCTCTAATTTTTTAGTAATGTGAGCTATTGGATACAAGTGGATCAATGGTCAAGATTGAGTGTAAGACTTCTAACTCTTACACCAGTGTAAGAATATCCTGCCCCTATATATATATATATATATATATATATATATATATATATATATATATATATATATATATATATGGGTTTGCTTTTTGTCATGACACATGACAAGAGTATTTTACCTGCACACACAAATTAAGTGTGGGTCCCACGCTTAAAAAAAAGGTCAGGATATGGAACCAAATTCTGTTGCAGGACAGAACAATGTCATTCGTACAACATGACAAACTGATTTTCACACACACACACACATATATATATATATATATATATATATGTAATTTCAGGAAATCATAACCATAAAATTTTATTTTCATATTTTTTTCAATCTCTTTGTATCTTTTATTTGAGTTCATCTACCACCTACCTCAATTAGTTTGAAATAAAGGTGTTGTTGATATTGATATATTAGTGTTAATTATTTTCTATAGACATATAAAAATGTACGAGACTCATATGAACTCATATAAAAAAAAAAGAAAAGAAAAGATCTCATATATATTTACGTACATCTAAGATATAAAATTATTTTTTAAAATATAAGAAATAATAAAGTTTTATTATTATGCAGTCATTGCAGTTGGGGATCAAAATGATAGACCGTTAGGTGATTACGCTCCAACGGTAAACGTGTTCGTACTATGTGTGCGAACATTTATGATTTAACTTTCGACCATAATTTTGGTGGATTCCAAATTTGAAACATAAGCTAATAATTAATTAATAATAATAATAATAATAATAAGATATTGCAACAATTAATTAGTGTTACTATCAATATTACTATCAATCAATTTCATCGTTAAATCGATTAGTGTTACTATATTTATAAGAATCATAACTATACAAAAATGAAAATAAATATATCGATCTAACGGTAAAATTAATTGGTAATAATCTTAATTGATTTTTTTACCATATATATATATATATATGTATGAGAGTACAAGAGTCAGTGATGTACAAATAAATAAATAAGAGTCAGACAATAAGAACAATGAAATGGCTTGCGATTTTCACGGAGTAGCTTTTAAGAATATTCTTTAAATCTTCGTATAAATCCAGCAACGATGACCATGGATACATCATACATTCGTGATATCTTATACAGCCCTACCAAACATAGTGATTATCATGGTGAGGCTGCTTTTAAAGAAAGCTGCCAGACAAATATTTATTTATTTTTTATTTAATTTAAAATATATCATAATTATAATAAGAGCTTTTTTCTGGTCAATTTGTTTGACTTTTTTTAATTAATACATATGTCAAAATTTTAAAATAATTATTAAGTTATTTAACATAAATATAAAAAAAAAATTAATATTTTATATTAGTGTTAGTTACTTTATCAATTTTAATTGTTGATCATATTTATATCTAATGATTTTGATTGATTAGATACTAAAGTTATTGGATTAAATTTTAAGTAAATTAATGTTCAAGATTTAATATAAGATTTTTTATTGAGGAACAAAAATATTTTATATATATATATATATATATATATATATATATATATATAAGGAAATAAACAATTTGATGAAATAATTGATTCATTCTTATAGGATCATGGTAGGTAGCAGCTAATATATGTGGAAAAATTTCTCAAAGATAAATTTTTTTATATCTAATTAAGCACATCTCCCCAGAAATAAAGAAATCAATATATATGATTCTGATTCGAAACAATTTCTTTAAAGAATAAAAGATTAAAAAGGAAAGGAATAAAACTAATTTATTATGTTAAGAGTAAAATAACTTTGCTGAACAAATCTGACAAAAGAAAGCCAATTAGAGTATTAGACCCTTGTGGCCCAGTCTGTCAAAAGAACATGAAATGTTTCAACCACAAGAGCAACTTAGCAGCAGAAGGGGAAACGAAGGTGTAATGGAATGGAACCTTTTAAGAGGATATTGACCTTAAGTTATATGATTTCTGAAAGTCATAATAACACACAACACTAGCCTCCCTCTCTCTTTATGCAGTCAAATTTAGCCATCTCACTACTGATGCATAAAGGGTACCTGAGATCTCTGAGTCAAAAGCATAGAAAAGCTATAACAAACGTTTTTAAAAACCATTGATTGAAATCCTTCAACCTCTGACAGAGAACATCTGCAGATTAAGTTTGTGACAGGTAACTTTTACTGTTTTCTTCTTGCTGCACATGTATGTCATCATTGTACTGAAAAAAAAAAAATGTGTCCTAGATCTACTCTTTATTACTGTTTCAGGGATGGTTTCAAGAGCAGCTATAGTGTTACTCATTGGTCTTCTGGGAATGGTTTATCAAGCTACTCAACTTCCCCCTCCAAATCTTAATGATTCATCAGATGATATTCATGTGGTTTCACCAAGAATCAGACTCGGTGATGGAAGATACCTGGCTTACAGAGAAAGGGGTGTCCTCAAGGACAAAGCAAAACACAGGATTATCATTGTGCACGGCTTTGGAAGCTCCAAAGATATGAACTTTCTGGCACCCCAAGTATGAACTTCAATCTCTATTTACAAAACTTGCTTATATTGATCTGAAAATATTGGACATGCTAATAATGTTTGATTTATGGATTTAGATCTAATTAGGCACAGTAAGCTATCAACAGTGCAAAACCACATATTTGATTGTAAAAATTTGTTTGGGAAACAAGTGGAATAGATTCAAAATGCTAGGGAGGGATACTATGCACAAATCAGTACACATTGCGGTTCTGATCAGATATTTGGATACAAACAAGAGATGTCTATTTTTATTTTATTTTTTCTCACCAAGTTGTAAATTATAATGGATTCTGAGTTTTGAGGCATTTTTTCAATACATGAACCTTATACAAGCATAAAAGTTGCAGTTTGCCATTCAAGTATGCCAAAAAAGGATAACATTTATACTGAATCTACAGGAACTAATAGATGAACTGAGTGTATATATTCTGCAATATGATCGTGCTGGCTATGGAGAAAGTGATCCAAACCCCAAACGCTCACTGAAAAGTGAAGCCCTTGACATTGAAGAACTAGCTGATCAGTTACAAATAGGGTCAAAATTTTATGTCATTGGAGTCTCAATGGGATCATATGCTACCTGGAGCTGTCTGAACTACATCCCCAACAGGCAAATTACAAGCCTCAAAATGTGTACTTATAAGTTTTCCCTTCTGATGTTAAAAACTTGAATTCACCACTAAGGTTAACATTTGTGCAGGCTAGCAGGTGTGGCTATGATAGCTCCAGTCATAAATTATGAGTGGCCTTCCCTTCCTGAGAGTCTTGTAAGGGAGGACTATAGGAAGAAACTTATCCAGTGGGCCCTGTGGTTTGCAAATTATTCTCCTAGACTATTGCACTGGTGGGTGACTCAAAAGTGGCTCCCTTCAAATTCTGTCATAGAAAAAAATCCAGCATTCTTCAACAAAAGAGATATAGATATTTTGAAGACAATTCCCGGGTTCCCAATGCTTACCAAGGTAAATTACATGTTCCTTTCACTTGTTTTATAAGAAAAGTGTAGCCTGGTACTATAAAACTCTAGCTATGTACAGGTTCTAGGGAAGGGTCAAACCCTTTGTGTGGGTATATAATAGACATACTTATAATGTATTTATTTGCAAGAGGCTGATTACATGAATAGAACATGTGATCTTTGGGTCACATGGAGACAACACTAACCAATAATAACCATTGTGCCAAAGTTCCCTTCTTTCACTTGTTTTATGTGAACATAAATAGTAATACCTATTCTATGAAGGTAATTGTGATGAGGGTATGTTCCAATTTACAGGACAAATTAAAGGAACAGGTTGTTTTTGACACTCTAAGGGGTGACTGGATGGTGGCCTTTGGAAACTGGGAATTTGACCCAATGAAGCTAAGTAATCCATTCCCTCAGAATAGAAGTTTAGTTCACATTTGGCAGGGCTATGAAGATAAGGTAGTGCCCTCTCAAATCCAGAGATTTGTTTCAAGGAAGCTTCCCTGGATACTTTATCATGAAGTTCCAGATGGTGGCCATTTAATTGTACACTATAGTGGTTTATGTGATGCCATTTTGAAGGCACTTTTACTTGGAGAAGAAAATCTTTCATATAGACCTAGACCAGCAATATTTGTATCTTAATTTGCTATGATCTCATATTCCAATATGTTTACCGCTGGTTTAGTTTTTTAGGAGAATGTCAAATATGTAAATTGAATCACATTCGTTGGTTGAAAGGAGGAAAATTTCATATATCTTGTTTTTTTGTTAGTTGAAAGCTTAAAGGGAACACAACACAATCATCTGTTCCAGAAAGTACACATCAACTTTTCCTTGAACTATTAACCATAACACAGATTTCTATTTTGACAAACATTGTTGTGACTGTAGGAAAGCTAGAGAATCAGTTGCTTATTTATCTTTTATTTGTTTATTTTTGAACTTGAAATGCAAATGCTGCAATAAGCTCCACCTTATTTCAATAACAAGCAAAGCAGTTCAAATGTATTTCATGATTTGGCTAGTCTATCTGTTAAAAAATTGGAATAAGGAATGATCAAAGCTAAAGGACAAAAACTGAACAATAATTAAGCACTTTGAATGATTCAGCTTTGCCTTTTGTACATCTCTAAAGTCTGAAATAGTTTTTGACCTTTGTACAGAAGATATTGGCATTATAAAAGTTGCACATAATAGTGAAGATTAGTGTTTGGCTGGAACTAAAGCTAATCCAATAGAAGGTTTGGTCAAATATTCAATTTCCATACGTTCCTCATCATCTAATCTCAAAACTTTGTTAATAAAGTCAAAATCATATAAAACTTAACCCTTAAGTTTCTTAAAAGGCGGGACGTCCAAAGTCAGAAGGTTACTTTTTTAAACCGGCCCGGGTTTCTGTATTCGATGAGGGCATCGGTTCAACTTGTTCATTGAACGAGTCCGATTTCGACCGATTCATTCGGTCGAGTCTCGGTGACTTGCGGGTCAACTTGGTGGGTCAAGAAAATTGGATAAAATATTTTACTTTTGATCATGGCGAGAAGTGAAACCGGTCTATAGAAGTAAGTAATGTTATCATTTACTATTAAGCTACCCTGGTCAAGTTGATCCTTTGTAGGATCTTTTGACATCCGTGTCAAATTTATCTCATCTCATAGCCGTTAGATTAAAAAAGATCAATGGTGTCACATGCTTACAAATCAGAGTCGTTGATCTTTTTTGATCTAACGGCTATGAGATGAGGTGTCAAATTTGAAATTTGACACTGGTGTCAAAAGATCCTACCTCTATATTTATTATATAATTTAATATAAATTTATGATAAAATATTTCATTTTTGACAATGGCTGAAAATTAAATCCAGTCTATGAAAGTGAACATTATTAACACTTATTACTAGGCTACCTTTAATTGTTGGTCAAAATATTTCTTATAATATATTTATCATATAATTTAATATAAATTTAATTAAATTAGTTGATTAATGATTCAATACCTCAACCAAATTAACAACCGAGCCAAATTTTAAAACACTGAACTTATTATTAAGAAAAATGCTAGAAATATTTTATTAACATATCTTATTATTGAGTAAATTTTACGTAAGTCCCACTAATTTGAGACCCAGTGAAGATTATCAAATAATATAGAATACATTAAAATAACATACTTGTAACATTTTTTTTTCAATCTTGAAGATAAGGCTTCGTCATTGACCCATCAATTTTTTCAATGTTACAGAATAGGTGGCAAAGAACAAACAGAGACTAAAAAAAAAGTAATTTCCTAAAAAAATTAAAAAATAGCATAATAAGATCTGCAACACACCATTCTATGTTGAACTTTCCGAGGCATTGCATGAAATGATGCCATTATTCGTGGGCTGCCAAGTCGCTAGTGCTTATAAAATATATTATTCACGTGATAGACGAGTATATTTGGTACTTCTTTATTAAATGTAAATAAAATGAGAACATTTACACGTAAAAAATAATATTTTACGCATATGTTTGTATTGGCAAGGGATAGAAAAATATCTTCTTCTTTTTTTGTTTTTTGAAAGTTAATTTTTTTAATTCCTATTTAGCTCTTTTTTTTGAAATGAGGACATTTACCTAACAAGAACAAAGAAGTAAGACGATGCCAATCAACAAGGAAAGATTACAGCAAAGACAACAAAAAGAAACAGGATCCTAGCTCAGACCATTCTGAGGGAGGCTACCCCCATCTGGTCTCTCAAGAGAATATGGTTGCACTCTAAGGGAGGCCTGTCCAAAATCTCCAAATTCCAATTGAGATCGTTGGAGGATGATGCTAATTAGTCGACTACCGCTTTGTCTTCCTTGTACGTGTGAGAAAATTTGATTCTCCAGTCTTTTCTAACGAAGAGATTGATCCTCTTAATCAGAGTACATAAGGGGTGACTATCAGTGCACCCTTCCTTCGAGAGATGCTCAGCCGTAGCAGAATCACTTTCAATGCATACGTTCCTGAAGACTCTATCCCAAGCTAGAGTAAAACCAAAGAAAATACCTTTCAATTCTGCTATTAATGTGTTTCCTTGCCCAATATAACGTCTGAAACCCACCATCCAGTTACCCCTATCATCACGGATTACTCCTCCGCACGCGGTAACTACTGCCATCAAGGGAACTCGAGCCATCAGTGTTTATTTTCATCCACCCAACCTTAGGATACTTCCAGCAAATGAACACTTCTGATCTCTTCCTGAAAATAATATTAGCCGCAACGTGCATGCTATCGGCCATGTTAATACTATCGACGAGATTCCTGATCCGGATTGAGGTATAATGGGAATTGGGAACTTTTCCATCGAATATGAAGTCATTCCTATCGAGCTATATAAACCAGCAAGTGACTCCAAATCTGATCCTCTTGTGCTCTTCCAAGTTACCAGATCCTTTGCCTAGGTTTATCTCTAGCCACCTATCCAAGGGTAAGTTAAGGAAAGAATAAGAAATATCATCTCCTAATATAGATCTCCACACTATAAGCGCTCAGACGCAATCCCTAATCAAATGCAGGCTGCTTTCCACCGATGCGTAGCATCTAGGGAAATTAGCAATGTCGCTCATTCCTCTATTCCTTATCTTCTCATTAGTTAGAAGCTTGTTATGGAGGAGGAGCCAAAGGAAAAATCTTATTTTTTGCAGCCCGTTCCACTGGCAAGGAAGATTGCGGACATTTAGAGAAGGACTCAAGTTAGGCTCAAGTTTGTTGTAAGCACTCCCAACCGTGAAGTCCTCATTATTCAACCCTTCCCAAATGATCCTATCCTCTCCATCATCTTGCGAAGGAGGGGTTTGTCTAGCAATGATGTTGACTATTTGGCTAGGGAGGAGACTTCTAAAGAGGTTCCAATTCTAGCATCCATGGTGGTCAACAAATCTACTCACACACCAGTTCAGTCTTTCCACTGGAATCTAATGTATCACCTCTGACTCCAGCTTCACTCTATTTGGAAGCCAGTTGTCCTTCCAGAATTTGGTGTTGTTGCCATTACCAATCAAGATTCTTGAGTTATCTACCACTTCTGGGCAGGATTTTGTGACTCCCTTCCAGAGTTTGGATCTGTTAGGGCATCTGTTCAGGTTCGGTACAAGATCCTCACCTACACCATATTTGTTCCGCACCACTTTCACCCATAGAGAGTCTCGTTTGGTAAGCACTCCATGACCAATCTTCATTAACATAGCTTTATTCATAAGCCTGGCTTGTCTCAGACTAACTCCTCCTTTCAATTTAGGAGAGCACATAGTATTCCAATTCACCAAGTGAGTTCTCCTACCCTCCTGAGATGAACCCCATATGAAACTTCTCGTGCTTTTGTCCAGTTCATCACAAAGTTTTAGAGGAAACAAAACTGATTGCATAGTATATGTTGGGAGAGCTGAGATAACTGATTTGGCCAAAGTTAACCTGCCTGCTAGAGATAATGTTTTATGGCTCCAGCTATTTAACCGACTCTGAACTCTCTCCAAAACATGGGACAAGGAATCTATAGACACATGTTTATAGTGTAGCGATATCCCAAGGTATTTTCCCAGGTCACTGGTGAGATTAATACCCAGGCTGTCGCTGATATCCTTAGCCCTAGAAAGGCATACGTTCTTAGAGAAAAACAAGGATACGCATATGGAGTCCCGCTGAGAATGGTAAAACACAGCTTGAAGGCCATCAGGCCCTGGCGCTTTGAATTTCCCCATAGCAAACATTGTCCTACGAATTTCGTCAATACTAGGAATTGCACCAATTCTACCTAGCTCATCTATTTCCAGCTGAGGGAAGGCATTCCTGATCGGGAATAACTCTAACTCTCCTTCATCCACTGAATACAGATTAGTGAAATAATTAACAGCTAGGTCAACAATCTATTTGGGATCAGCCAGCCACTCCCCATTCTCATTCTTCAAAGTCAGGATCTCGTTCCTTCTTCTCTTGGCCACAGTGTTAGAGTGATAGAACTTTGTATTCCTGTCACCGAGTTTTATCCAGTCACATCTAGATCTCTGAAACCAGTTGAGTTCTTCTCTGATGAGAATACTTTCCAGCTCTTTCCATAGGGACCTGAGAAGCATATCCAAGTTATGATCATACCTGCTCATAAGAGAAATTTCAATCCCCCTGATATGAGCATGTAACCTGTTCTTCTGCTTTTGAGTGCTTCTAAAGTAGTTATTATGCCAGGCTAGGACCTCTTCTTGGAACCTATCTCTAGCTTCTAACCAATGCTCCGTCGAATCCCAGCACCTGGACACAATATCATTAAACCCTTCAGTTGTTAACCATGGGGCTAAAAATCTGAATGGCTTGGCTCCATTGGAATCATCTGAGTAACTCTTGTGGGTCAAGAGAATGGGACAGTGATCTAACGAGAAAAAAGGGAGATGTGTCACATCCCTCTCAGGCCACGCAAGATTCCATTGATCATTAACACAAACTCTATCAAGCCTTTCATATAAAGAGTTCCTTTTCCAAGTAGAATACGGTCCAGAAAAGCCTATATCCTTGACAAGGCAATAGTCTAGGCAATCCTTGAACTCCGAGTCACTTCTCCAGCAGAAATCACCTCCTCTCTTTTTCTCGGTGTTAAGGATCATGGCGTTGAAGTCTCCCAGCACCATCCAAGCTTCATTGTTGATTGATGAGGCCAGCACACAGAGCTCCTCCCACATGTGAAGTCTTTCTATATGTCTGGGACTAGCATACATGAAGGTAACAAGTTCCTCGACCGAAAGGGATTTGTGTAAAACTCTTGCATGGACGAACTGGTGATCCGATTGGATCACTTGGATAGACACCTCAGCATCGTCCCACAAGATCCAGATACCACCTGAGTACCCCACAGCCTCTTGGCGAAAAGAGTTACTGAAGCCAAGCTGCTTGATCTTAGCATCAACCTTCATTCCACTAATTTTGGTCTCCAGAAGAACCAGAATTCTAATCTTGAACCTATACTTCAGGTCCTTAATCAAAGCCACGAAGCCCTTCTTGTTAACACCCCTGCTATTCCATATACAGTAATTAATCATAAAAACTAATAGGGAAAAGGACAAAAAAGAGGGTCCTAGATGGACAATCATCATTGGTTGTTGGGGGAATTGGATCCCCACGCCCCAAGAGTGGTGTCCAATGCCTCATTCTCTTGCTCTTGAGACATGTATCTCATAACTGTCAGTATGTCGTTCTCCTTCTCCAGCATGCCTTTCTTATCTACTGGGCTAGGCCCAATGTTCACTAAGTCAGTTTGCAGGGGGTATTTCGACCCAATATTCGGTCCTATAGCCAGGTTTTTACTCAAGCCCACAATGTGTTTACCTCCAAAACCCAATTAAATCGCGTAGGGCTTGTTCTCCTTTCTGTGATCTTTAGTTTTGATTTTAGGCCCTCCACTTCCCAATGCTCTTTTTTCTTTACCTAATAAACTATTTGGTTTGACATTTAACTTCTGACTTTTGGAGGATTGGACGTTTACCACTGATTTTGGAGGCTCAATAAAGCTGCCAGTTCCCTCTTCCATGATAAAGATACTATCCTCTAGTCTCTGCTCAACTGGCCTAGTCACAAGAGTAGTTACCGCCACATCCTTCTCTACTGGTGTGTCAGGAGCAGTTTCTGTGTTAGAGATTTCCTTTCCTCGAACACTGTGGCTTCTAGTAACTCGTGTCAGCTGTGCCGGACTATTCTTTCCGGCAATCTGAGTTTCCGGAATCGCCTTTAGTAGCCAGGATTTAGGGGACTTCTTGATCACCATCCAATCGCCGAAAGCTTTTGGGTCTTCTAATTTTCTCTCCTCTTCCTCGTGCTTCTTTGTTCTAGTCCTAGAAACGTTCACCGCGTTTTGTTTGGCCTGGTGCATCGAACCAGCATTAGTCCCATAACTCTCCTTCTTGTGTCCATACTTTCCACAGTTGAAGCAAAGCATGTGTAAACCTTCATATCCTACATGGAAAATTTGATCCTCAACCTGGAACTTTGGAAGAAAACTTCTTCGTAAGTCCACCTCCACGCATATCCTCGCGAACCTGGCCTTCTCAGTAATCTCACCTTCTCCCGCTTCATTCTTCCTGAGAGAACTCTTGTCAACTTTTTAGGGTTCTTCCCAAGAGGTTACCAATTCTCCAGAGATGATAGTTAGAGTACAACTCTATAGGAAGACCTGGAATCCTAACCCAAACCGCCAACTTTTTCACTTCCTCATCATATGGATTAAACATTAGGCGCCATCTTTGCACTACCAGATAATGTCCTGCCACAATCCATGGCCCGTTCTGAAAGACATGGGTGTAGTCTCGCTCCTCCTTAAATCTTATCAGTAAGTGACCGTTATCCAAGCTTATTAGCTCATACGTACCTATGAGTCCCCAGAGCTTTTCTAGTTTCACCATAAGGTATTTTGAGTTGATTCTCCTACCAAGTAGCTTGATAATGATAGCTTTCTTCCATTGTTCGCAATCAGCTTTATGCTGAGCCTTTGATAGTTTGTACACTGGACAAAGGGGGTCTCCATTCATATCCTCAACCTCCTCTATGTCTTCTTCTTCTTCTTCGTCCCTCCTTTGGTAGCCATCCAATCCTCTTCTTCATTGTCAGATTCATAAACCTGGCCATTGAGTTGGATAACTTTATCCCTATAGGATACGAAGCCTTTTGGCTTAGCATTGCATGAATCTTTGTCATTTACTCCCACTAAATCCGTTGTTGTGGGTGTGGTTTTCTCCATTTCAGCATTCACGACAGCCTCCGCCATAGTCTCTTTCTGACTATCTTTAGGTCTGTTAGTGATTCTCTGAAGGATATCCACATCTTCCTTGCTGGTTGAAACCTGTTCGCTCTCACCGGCCAAAACGTCCTTCATTGTTTTCGACTATGCAAACTCTATCGCACATAAAACTCACGAAGTCGACCCTTGACAATGGATTAGATGTCTCTTTATGATATGTATATAAGAGAATATTACTTTCATATTATATAAAAGAATTTTTCTCGTGCATTCATAAATTAAAAGTGGGTTTCATTCTGTATTTTTTTCTCCTCCGTTCTCTCTCATCTTTCCTTTAATTTGTGAGTACATAAATTTTTTTTTCTCTTATGTGATCAGAGTAATATTTCTCTATGTGGGGATCAATTTAAATTATTTTTTTCTCTCCTCTAATTTGTGAATGTATGAGAGAAAAATTTTCTCATATAACATGAGAGTAATATTCCACATCTATATATATTTTGGGTCTATACTAAAGGCCTAGACAATAAAAACCCAATCCGCAAAAATGCAGAACCAAGGGACTTTAACCCTTAACAAAGTAACCCCAAATAGCTCATTAACTCGGTCAGAGAATTGGATTAACTAGTTATCAGTTTAATCGCATCAATTAAATATATATAATGAAATATATTTTAACCAATAATTAGAGTTGATTTAGAGGTAAGTGCTATAAGCAATGTTATAAAAATCGGGTTGACCCGGAAATTGGTGAACTGATCATGTAACCGATTCAGTTTTCATATTGGACCAGCCAAGTTATAGAACCAGTGTGACCTGGTGCGACCCAGTCGAATTTTGTAAAAATCGGTGACCTGGCTCGATTCATAAAAAAAATGATTTGTTCTCATCAATTGATACCTTTCTTTTTTTCAAACTCACAAACAAATGGTTTGTTTTCTTTTGAAATATTTGAGTAATTTGTAACTTATTAACTTACATAGATTATGTACCCACAACGCTAATATTATTTTGATTATGCAATATGCAGGAAATTTTGATTTGATTTATAGTTAGAGATATCGTTTACTGAACCTAGAACACCAATATCACAAGTATTATATGTTTGATTGATCTTTTGATGGACAATGATATGTAATTTATTATTTTTCATATTAAAATATTTGAAATTGGTATCAATTTTTTACAGGTATTTAAGTATACTTATAGTTTTTTTAATATAAATTATAGATTTACATATACTTACTGGATTACTCGGTTGAACCAGTGACCCATTGATTGAAAAAGTGACTCAGTACCTAGACCAGATCAATAACCGAGCCGAGTTTAATAATATTGACTATGAGTTATAATTCATATGGTCTGGGTTTGAATTTCATTAGTGGTATTTTTCAAGTATTTTGACCGAAATTTCATAAAACTAAAATTTTTTATTTAAAAAAATCGATGCTAATTTAATAGTTTCATACTGAATTAAATGTATAATCGATCCAATACCTAAATCGAATCAGTTGGAATGCAGTTTACGGGTCAATAGATTGAACCGGCCGAATTGGGTTGGTTTTTATAACACTCGTCGGTTGGATTCGTAATCCCAATTAAATACGCAATATATGAATGAATAGCTATCTAACTTCTCATTCAGAGTCAATAACCAACTAATAGTAAGGTTACACAAAGGCTACTCGATCACATATTGTGCGCATAGTCCACAATAGACATCTTGACTGTAACCTCAACGTCTCAGCCACCCTAGAGTCAATAGAAGACCAAAGCCAATTTTGAAACCTACTTATAAAAGGACAGTGACACGAGCTTATGTTCTGAGTAGGTCCTATGCATACTATAAATACAAATGACTTGCCTTTTAAATACACTCCCTCACCTATTCCATTGAAAATCCATGAAAGAACAGTACCAATACACCTCCAAAATGGCTTTCGCAATCATTAGCAACCCAAATATCTCGAGTTAACCGATATCGTAGTAGCAACGCTCGAATCTGAAAACTAATCAATATTTCTTCTCCTAATACTTTAATTTTGACACACACAAAAAATAAAAAATATAACAGTTAAATCAATTGCTTGCCTAGTAAGCACTACGACAAATATAAATATTTTGGTATTATGTTGGTCTTGCAAAAGAGTATATAAGTTATGTGCAAGTATACACAACCACAAATAATATAGGATCTTTGAGTTCCAGTTATCGTTCCCACAAGGATCTTTGGCATTTTTGACTTGACTAAAATTTGCAATTGCCTAAAACTGAATTCCTAACTAAAAAGAAAACTATGATTATGTTTGATAAACAGAAAATAAAATAAGCAAACAAAAAGATTAAAATTTCAATTGGGATTTTCTGATTTAAATTTGAAAATAATTTCTTAATGCGCAAAATGAAAGAAATAAAATAAATTGAGAAAATTATTTTTAGATTTTTCAAATTGGTTATGTTTTTACAAGGATTACTAAAAAATGTAACTGGATTAAAAACAAACAGATTTGACAAAGTTTTAAGAAATCTAGTTAGAAAAATGGGTTGAGTTTTAATTCCTTCCCCACAGCCCCTAGCGTCCAATTGTTTAACAAGATTCTTTCACAATTGTTTTTCAATTGGCAGACAACTAAGGATTTTAATCCCTTAAAAATCATTTCCCCTTTTGTTCTCACACAACTTATCCTTAAGCAAATGAAACTAAAAGCTTGAAGCTCATGTCCTTTTGGCCACATGGAGGAGTAAAAATCATCTCTGAATTTCTCCCTCATATAATCCCTTATTTGAGTCCTTGAGCTCAACTCATTGTCTAGAGAAATTTATTTCCCAATAAATTTCCCCTAAGCAAACTTATTTCATGCGGCTGAAATGAAATAAAATTTGAACAGATAAATCAAAGTTGAACTAAAGAAATGAAACATTCATCCCAGAAAAGCAATTAACACCAGCAACTGTGGTTGGGGTCTCAGTCACCCAACCCTTAGAAAATTTAGCTCAAATCCATAAGGATTGAGCTCAACTACAGGTATGAAAGGGAAAATAAAGAAAATGAAATACAGAAAGCTAAAACTGCTGAAAGCTAAAACCACCTAACGAGTACTATCCACTGAGATAGTCTCATTATTGTGCTCATATTTACAAAACAAAAAGATATTATAATACCAGAAACGCAAAGCAAAACGAAAACGAAGAAGAAGGTGAGAGAGTTAGAGAGTGTCAGCCTACAAGCTTTTCATTCTCTTTTATATCTCATTTCCCACATGCATGGGCCTTGGGCTCTTCTTGTTGGAAATCGACAATCACACAAATCGCAAACGAAAAGAGAAAAGAGAGAGAATAGACACAGAAATTTACTCTGGTTTACCTAATTTAGGCTACGTCCAGCTTGTCTGTACTATATTCATATCACCGCCACTCGTTACAAGTCACTCGGTTTACAAGAAAAATATAAATAGGATTAGAAAACCCTAACAGCAGCT